ACTTCTAACATGTTGAACTCAAATACCTGTACTTTCTACTTCTTACATGTTGAACTCAAATACCTGTACTTTCTACTTCTTACATGTTGAACTCAAATACCTGTACTTTCTACTTCTTACATGTTGAACACAAATACCTGTACTTTCTACTTCTTACATGTTGAACTCAAATACCTGTACTTTCTACTTCTTACATGTTGAACTCAAATACCTGTACTTTCTACTTCTTACATGTTGAACTCAAATACTTGTACTTTCTACTTCTCTCATTTTCCAAACAGCTGGTTCCTTTAGTCTGAATGTGTGTTTGATGCGTGATCATTATTCTTTAGAGTCATTGCGTGCCTATTGATTTGAACACGATCCGTGTATCCATCATTTCCTGGTCTTCTCTAAAGAAGAGGGACCAATGGAAACGTTGTCATGTTGCCGTTGTTCAGCATGGAAACATTCATTAGCTAACAATGACATTATTGTTCTATTAAAGGTCCCATGTCATGCTTTTCCGGTTAGTACCCGTTCCCTTGTTGTTATGAAGGTTTTTATGCATGTAAACGGTGTGCAGAGTCAAAACCCTCAAAGTGCACCATGTAGCGAGTAAAACTCTAACACAGAAAATACCTCCCCAAAACGCCTCGTTGGAGATACGCCATTGTCCATTTGATTCTTCCGGGTACGCATGATGTCAACCGTACCCGGAACGAAATGGACCAATCCGTGGAGCCGTTACGTCCGCGGAGCCGTTACGTTAAGCCCCCGCTGATTGGTCCAAATTGACCAATCCACGACTTCCTCACACACTCAGTGCAGGCAGCTCTGCTGATTTCTCCTCCCTGGCTGCAGGCTGATCGGGCACAATTCTCTCTGCAGACCCATTCTCTCTGCAGACCCATTCTCTCTGCAGACCCATTCTCACAGCGTTTATCAACCTTTTTCTTTCTCAATATCAAGCCACACTTATTGTTTTTACTTCGGCTGTGACTTTGTGTGCTCAGGGTGAGTTTGGCTGTGTTTCGCTAAACAAGGAAACAACACCTCCACGGAGCTTAGCGCGATTCACAACGTCCCGACCAATCAGAGCACACTGTGCTCACAGGGAGTGGGGGGGCTGGAGCTACAACCAGCCGTTAAAGGCAGAGAGTGAAATTCAGTGAATACACGTAGTTTACAGAGATGCTGTTTGAGAAACCAATGTGAGTTTGGAACATTGCAAAATATAAATCTATTCTAGTAGACCTCAACAATGGAATTATGATCAGTAGAACTGGCCATGACATGGGACCTTTAATATAAAGGGAGGTCAGGTACTCCTTAAAACAGCTGCTAGTTATGGTGGACACACACATTACACAACAGGTTGAGTTTCCACAATAAGCAGCCCACTCAGGTTATCTGTATTTACACTAAATCCCACTGAGGCTCCACTTCCCATTGATGAGCCGCTGTTGTGATGTTCACTTGGCAACTCAGCATCAACACTCAATAGCCTGTTTAGTGCTTTTTTAGAAAGGTTATTTTCTTTGCTAGATGGATAGAGTTACACAACACAATGGTGCCTTTTTAATTTGTCAGGAAGCTTCGTTAAGATACCACCTGGATGCTTTTTTAATTCTTACTTGGTGAGATAATCAGAAGCATCCACTGGGATTGCATTTTAATTAAAAAGCGCCATTTTAATCAACTCTTCCATGGCTTATGTCCCTGTCTATCACACACACACACACACACACACACACACACACACACACACACACACACACACACACACACACACACACACACACACACACACACACACACACACACACACACACACACACACACACACACACACACACACACACACACACACACACACACACACACACACACACTGTGACGGACTAACTATGCTTGACTGGATGCTTCATTAATCGGAGGGTCGTAGTTAATATTGAGAGGAGGAGAAGCTGATGGACGGACACTAATTTCAGAGCGAGAGTCAAGAGGGACAGCACGGCTCTTTCTGAGGGTTTAGAAGTGTCTTACATTTAATTAGTTTGCACTCAGCTTCAATCTTAACTTAAGAGGTTTGCTCTGTAAAATAGTCCAACAACCTGGACATGTTGAGGACCCCGAAGTTTGATGTAAGCAATGTGAAGATGTACTTATATGATTCTGTTTTCTTCAAGTTTGTATCTTCTTGGTCGAATGCACTTATTGGATAAAAGCGCCAGCTAAATGTAATGTAATGAAGTAGGGGCAATTAGAAAACAGCTGGATGCTACATTGCATATGTTGGGCAAGTTGCACTAATTCACATTATAGCTTATATTAATATTTCCAATATCGCTTGACCGGTTTTGACGATATTGGAGTCGATTTGATCTGTTGTCGAACTCCAATTTGCTTCTAAAGTTAATGTTACGTAGTGATTTTGATAGATTGATAGATAGCTAACACTTGCTAGCCAGCTTGTTAGATCGAATGCTAATGTTCGCTAGTTAGCTAGTTAGCTAATTGAATTTTGTCTCTAGATTGATGTTTGTTTACATGTTATCCCTGTGGACCTTTGTCTCTGGCAGTGAGAGAGAGGTTTGCTCTGTAAATGCCAACAACCTGGACATGTTGAGGACCCCAAAGTTTGATGTAAGCTCTTATACAGTCTATGTGTAAGCTATGTAAAGTAGGGGCAATTAGAAACTGCCGGATGCTACATTGCATATGTTGGGCAATGTGTGCGATTAGCATAAGTGGAGAGCATCTGTAATTAGCATTATAGCCTATATGGACAATATTTCCAAAAGTGCTTCACCAATTTGGATGTTTTGTTGCTTAATCTGACCTTTTCAGAATTTGGCAGCAAAAACCACATTTCGACTCTTTGTGGGACAATTTTAAGGAATGTTTTGTCGATTTGATCTGTTTTCAAACTCCAATGTGCTTCTAAAATGCAGGTTTGTAAAGTAGATGGTTAACGTTTGGATTTGATAGATGGATTGATAGATAGCTAACTTTCGCTATTTAACTTGATATAAAGACAGCTAACGTTCACTGACAGGTAATTTAATCTCATCTCTAAATTGACTATTTATACATTTCATCCCTGTGGATTTGTGTCTGGCAGTGAGAGTTATTATAAACTTCGCTTTCTTCTGCAGTACTTTGATAGTTTTTCAATTCCTCCTTTTTATATTTCCACTCACTTTAGATCTGAGTTATGCCTCACCTTTAAAAAGTGGCGTCATCCATCCATGAAAATGAGCGATGTGAGTATTTTTGAAATAATGGTAGAAGGAGCTGTAAGAAAATCCATTTGTGGTGTTTGCTTTTCAAGTAGTTCCTCTCCAGCTCAGGACATTCTGCCTCTTAGTTTCTCAGATCGGAGCGACCTTACATTTCCGTTATGATGTCGTTAAACAGCCATTCTGCTGACATATCGATGCCGTTATCTCCAAATGATGTCATTTCATGAAATGTGCCCTCCAGTTCTCGACAAAACGGCCTCATATTGTGTATAATCAGATTATCATGCAGACAAACTTTACAGTTATAATACAGATCATTATGATGGATCTGCAAAGGAGAAACTTCTCATGGAGAGCTGTCCTGATGATCTCTTCTCATTAGAGAGGTCTGACAGACTGATCTGTATTCAGAGGAAGCATCCAGTGACTTCGCTGCTTCTGATGAGCTGAAGCAGGGAAATAGATAAAAGACTTATGGAACGAAGGAGTGCTGATGCTTGACGCAGTTGTCTGTGTGTTTCCACCATACACTCTGGAGGATGAACTTTGAAACAAACTCAAAAGTGGCTGGAGATGGGATTATTGTTTTGACCCTGAAAGGAGTTTCTACTTCTGTGTAAATTCAATCTACAATAATTCGAAGCAGAGACAGTTTCCAATTAACAAGATGCCATGTTCTGCCGCTTGCATGACTTTAAAAATGACTCGATTTGCCTTAATTGCTATTATTGTATTCATGTAGAGCAGGGGGTCAAACTCAAACACACAGTGGGCCAAAATAAAAAAGTGGGTACTAGTGGAGGTCCGGACTGGTTCAATGTTTATTGCAGAACTTATTGAAATGAACTTATTGCACATATTAAACCTGGAACTAACAAAGCTTAAACTATTGCTTATAAAAACAACATTAAACATTAAATAATCAGTTGCATTCATTTCTGATGGCTCTATCTGCAGCTTTTTCAGAGTCATTTCTTATGAGTACATTTTCCCACAGGACAACAACAGCTTCAACAAAACTATTCCCCTCAGAGAGAAAACCAAACATGCCCTGTTGTCCTGAGAGAAAGTGCAGAAGGAAACATCCATTAGACTCAGTGTGCTGCTCTGTGATGCTAGTTCAGATACTTGGCATCTCATCTCGGGAGCAAGGTCATCAATGTTTGGGCTCAGGCTCTGAGCGGAGAAGACCCTCAGGATGGAGTGAAGGTGTGAGAGCAATATACCGGCGGGCCAGATCTAATAGGAATTAGAAATTATCCTGCGGGCCGAAATTAAATCCACCACGGCCCTGATTTGGCCCCCGGGTCTCGAGTTTGACACATGTGGTTTAGACCATAAAACGTCCAGAAATGGAGCAAAAACATCCAAGTTGACACTCAAAATGCTTGTTTTGTCCAACCTGTATTTCAAAACCTAAATGAATTCAATCTACAATCATATAAACTTTATAAAGCATATAGTTTCCAATTAACGAGATACTTAATGCCATGGTTTGCACTTTGTAACAGAGAAACACCCTCTCTCTATTGAAGGTTGTTGTATTATTTGCCTTTATTGCCATTATTGCATTCAGTAAGACCATAAAACGTCCAGAAATTGATCAAAGGTGACATTCAAAATGCTTGTTGTGTCCAACCTGTTCAATCCACTCTGAAAACAGATAATATATATTCCATGTTTGCTCTATAAATAATGTATTTAATCATCAAAATTGTCGTATAGAGCGTTATTTCTGTCTGTGTTAGTAATCCTTGTCTCCCTCTCGTCCAGGCTGCCTGTTTGAAGACGAGCTGTGTTCTCCGTATGAGTTCTGCGTCAATGGTAAGTCACATTGTGAGCGTCACACACACACACACACACACACACACACACACACACACACACACACACACACACACACACACACACACACACACACACGCTGAATTTCATTTCCAACGTCACACAGCTTGTTTTATTCGTCTGCCCACAAACCCTCATTAAATCCTACAGTACATCGTCCCAGCGGTATCAGCCAGCATCGACCCGGCTATTTTTAATCATTCAGGGATTTATAGAAAGATGGAGGGTCGTTTTCAGACACGCTGTGTGAGTCATGTCCGAGAAAAACATTATTAAAACTTCATGGGATCAACACCAAGGAAAAACCAATGGCTAACAATTGTGGAAGAAATCTTTTTGATGGAAAAACGTACTGAGAAACGCAACTCAACAGAAAGTGGGAAAAATGTACTTGATACAAAACTCAAAACAAAGACATTTATCTGGAACAATAGTTACGTGTATCATCAAGAATATAATAACATGATAGCCTTCTATTTTATTTGTATTTTGTATTGCCTCGCTGGCCTTTTGTGACATGATTGTTATGTTGTCATGTATAATGTGTCAATAAAGATTTAATAAAAAAAACATTGGATCAACAGTCACAGCAGAAGATACCAAATAGCGACAGTATAATTCAACCCAGTCTCACGGCATTTCGTGTTATAGTCACGACATCAATGTAATCTATTGATTCGTGTTCACCAACACGATTTCCCCCTTTTTTGCGTGTCACACAGAACGATTTGAAAAGCAATGTATTTCTGTTGGTAGTGTGTTTCGTGCCTGCACCTCGTCTTTCTGTCCGGTCGGGTCGCGGAGGACCGGAAGCTGTGGGGTTAAAAAAAACATGTTCTTACTCAATATCTTACCGAAGCCTAACCCTTTTATTTTAAATCGTATAATGTCTGAGTTTTTTTGCCGTCCGCGAGGAAAATAAATGGCTCAGAGCCTCAAAGTACTGACATCTGTATTTCTTTCTTTCTTCTAATCTGTTATTATTTGGTGCAGGCACGAAACATACTACCAATAGAAATACATTGCTTCTAAAATCTTTCAAGCGTTGTTAGAAAGATCGCTAATGTTCGCTAGTTAATTCACAGTCACGAATCAATTACTTAATGTGAGCCAAGTGCTTTGAAGAGAACACCAACTAGAGACAATATTGATGCCAATATAAATAAATACATACTTAATTAGATAATAAGCATATTGCAATCTTCTTATGGAGCTACTGGAGATATCTGTTAGTGAGGATAAGATCTTATAGTGTCTTTGGAATAGCTGCAGATCTGTACTCTGATTTCCATATTAACCCAGTTAGGAGGGAACATTACATTACATTTAGCTGACACTTTTATCCAAAGAGACTTACAATAAGTACATTCGACCAGGAAGACACAACCTTGAAGAAAACAGAATCATATAAGTACATCAGGTTTCATAGAGCCAAACATTTCAAGTGCTACTCAACTGGCTTTAGATAAGCCAGCCCTTTATTAGTATATAAGTGCTTTGTTAATAGTTCTATCGCTCGAAGTGGAGTCGAAAGAGATGAGTTTTCAGTCTGCGCGGGAAGGTGTGTAAGCTATCTGCTGTCCTGATGTCAATGGGGAGCTCATTCCACCATCCTGGAGCCAGGATAGCAAACCCACGTGTTTCTGCTGATGGGAACTTGGGTCCCCCTCGCAGCGAGGGCGCAGCGAGTTGTTTGGCTGATGCAGAGCGTAGTGCACACGCTGGGGTGTACGGTTTAACCATGTCCTGGATGTAGGAAGGGCCAGATCCATTCGCAGCATGGTAAGCAAGTACCAGTGTCTTGAAGTGGATTCTAGCAGTTACTGGAAGCCAGTGAAGGGAGCGGAGGAGCGGCGTGGTGTGGGAGAATTTAGGAAGGTTGAAGACCAGACGAGCCGCTGCATTCTGGGTGAGCTGCAGAGGTCGGATGGCACATGCAGGTAGACCAGCCAGGAGGGAGTTGCAGTAGTCTAGGCGTGAGATGACGAGAACAGGGGAAAGGAGGCAGTGGAGGAGAGATACATATATAACAACTGACTTTAATTACACTGTTAGCATTGGTTCAGAGTGGAGCTGTGTCTTAGTGAGAAAGTGCTGACACCTCGACAGAAACCCCCGAGGCTCATAGTGTGGGAGTTTTATATTACATTGGAGTAAAATGCAAATTCCATTTTCTCATTGTGTTTTTTATTTACAGGCCAAATGTGAAGCGCGTATATGAACCCTCTCATTCTAAAATATCAAATCAAAGTTTATTTATATAGCTCAATATCACATCAGTGGGTTTTGCAGATTAGCAAATGAAAGACGGTGCTAAAAGATACATTAAAGACAAGATGGAGTGAAATACGGATAAAACGAGATGAAATACAACGAAAAGTCAAGAAAAATACCATAAAATGTAGGATAAACATTGGGTTACCAGCTTTAAATATATGCTTTATTCAAAAAGGAACATCTTCAACACACTCTTAAAGTGTTTGGACACTGTCTGTCTCAGTATTGTAATCACAGTTACTAGGAAACAAATGCAGGAATAATCTCCGTTAAATAAAAATACAAGATAAGTCGGGAAATACAAATAAAATGAGATGAAATACAACAAAAAGGACAATAAAAATACAATAAAATACCATAAAATGTAGGACAAACATTGAGTAATCAGCTTTAGATATAGGCTTTATTAAAAAAAGTAACGTCTTCAACACATTAGACACTGTCGGCCTCCTTAATTCAATTCAATTCAAAACCTTTATTTATCAGGTGAAATCCCATTGAGATCAATGATCTCTTTTTCAAGGGAGACCTGCAGCAGTAGGTTCCACAAGAAGACATCAAAACATAAACAACAGAACAACAAAAGGACATCATTCAGCAAAATGTACAGGGATTACAATTTACATATTTAACCACAAGTACAGGTACCAACAGCATCTGATTGAGTAGCATCCAACCGAGCTTTAAAAACATGTAGTGCTACTAGCTTGGTAATTTTCCATTCTTTTTGCAGACTGTTCCATGTTAGTGGAGCTGCACATCTAAAAGCTTTCTTCCCTAAGACAGTCCTAGCACTTGGCACATTTAATAAAACCACAGCATGCGATCTCAGGCAATTAATAGAAAGTTACAAATATAATTACAGTTACTAGGAAACTTACAGTACAGCTAGATATCACATCAGTACATTTTACAGATTAACAAATGAGAGACTGTGCTAAAAGATAAATTAAAAGACATGATAGAGTATGAAATAAGATGAAATACAACAAAAGGACAATAAAATACCACAAAATGTAGGACAAACATTGGGGAATCAGCTTTAAATATAGGCTTGATTAAAAAAAAAGGAAGGTCTTCAACACACCTAAAATGTTTGGACACTTTCTGCCTCCTTAATAATTAGAGTTACTAGGAAACATATAGCTTTATATCACATCAGTGGGTTTTACAGATGAATGAGAGACAGTGCTAAAAGATCAATTAAAAGACAAGAGAAAAACAAATACAATTAGATAAAATAGACAACAATAATACAATAAAATGTAGGACAAACGTAGAGTAACCAGCTTTATTACATGGCTTAGTTGAATACTCGATTCTGATTGGTCAATTCAGAACACGTGACACGTTGTTAATACCGAACAGACAGACCGCTGTCAAGGACTTATTGACCGTTGTTAAGAACGCTCACATCTTCAGAAAGAAGTCCGGTCGATTTAACTGTATACAGTTGGGACATGAAAAACAGCGCAGAAGTAACGGGCAGGAACCCTCCTTTTTACGCAGCGGTCCAGACATAGACATCAAACGGCGACACATATTCAGTTGCCAGTTCCTTTGGCATTAGGGCAGGGATATCTAGATACTTCCCAAGGTCTGACATAATGAAGTGTGCTACTTTTAAAGCAAGCAGCGATGTTTTCAAATCTGTAATCAAAAAGCTCCTCAAAAACGCTATCGAAGCAGTTCCTGCCGTTGCTACGTTAGTTCAAACGGTAACAACGGACTATTTTTCTTAGCGGATGCATGTCAATTTAAATCAATACAACTATTTTTTAAATCAATAAAATAATTTTCTAAATCCATAAAAGCATTTCAATTCATATTGGGATTCATAATGTTACTTTGTTGAGAATGTGGCCATGCGGGATAATGTGCAGCGACTTGGTCATTATGGGGAAAAGAACACCTTCATGCCGATCTAGATCCCTCCGCTTCGCATCGGGCTCCTGATCAGCCTGTCGGTGTTCTTTTCCCCATAATGACCGCGTTGCTGCACATTATCCCTTACTTAACGATAGGCATTATGAAAAAGGACACCGTCTGCCATAATTACAGTTACTAGGAAACAAAGCATGAATAATGCCTGATGATGACGAGCAGCAGACAGAGGACGAGTGGGAGTAACTGGGTCAATTCAATATTTAATAATCCATTCCTTGCACAATGAATGTATAATATCCTGCTTTATATTGTCAGAAGCATTCGTAGTGTTGTTATCCACGTTAACCACATTGTTTTTATATATGTGAACCTGGTGGTTAGTTGTAGTCGTCAGACACCTCGGCACACAATCTACACAAAGAGGAAGAGTGGGTAACTGGGTCTGACACTTCGTCCCTGAAGGAGTAACCTGGGTTATTCTGGGATGGAAAAAACAACCGTGCTCTTCTTCCTGTTGCCATGGAGATCAGCTGAGGAGGAGGGAAGGGAAGAAGCTGCTCAATCAGAAACCATTTCATACATGGAGGTCTAATGATGATAATCTGTATTTGTATAGCACCGCCTCCTTTCATACGATAAGCAGTTCAAAGTGTTTCACATTGATATCACACAGAATACAGTTACCAGTAAAAGACATAAAAACAAACAAAAAATAGCATAGAATAGACATATATTTAGAGTAAAGTTACAACGATGAAATTGTGCATTAAAAGGAGGATAGTGCAAATTCAACAAACAATCAAATGTGTAGAAAT